GCGCCTCCGTTTGTGGCCCGATTCAGCTGGTATAAGGCAATAGAAGGCAGGGATGATCAAATTATGCTAACGGCAATACAACGCAGAGATGATTAAATTGAAGGACAAGATTATGGTTTGAACACTCGTGTCATCACGGTGTGGTCCCCGTTCCGTAGCTAACGGGCCTGACCCAAACTCATTTGACTTCCCTGCGTGGTTTGACCTCCCCGCCTGGTCTGGCCCCTCCACGTGGTCTGAGCTCCCCACGTGGTCTGAGCCCCCCCCACGTGGTCTGAGCTCCCCACGTGGTCTGAGCTCCCCACGTGGTCTGACCTCCCTGCGTGGTCCGACCTCCTTCCCTAACAGGCACATCCTAGACGACGGATCGGACCAATACAAGATCATCATGCTGAACAAGCGGCAGCTCAGCTTCCGCGTCATCAAGCTGAACCGCGAGTGTGTGCGCGGTCTGTGGGCCGGCCAGCAGCAGGAGCTCATCTACCTCAGGAATCGCAACCCCGAGCGGGGCAGCATCCAGAACGCCAAGCAGGTGAGGCTGCTGGAGAGCGCCGCCGGCAGCCGCGGCGGCCCGGTGCGGCGGGCCTCATAGGTCGTGTCGACATATGGCAAAGCGGGGAGAGGAGAGCCGAGATCTGAACGAGCTGGGACGGGCGCGGGGCGCTCGCGAAGCTGTGTGGTAGCCACATCGCTCGGTCTTACCTCCTGATGCATCTTAAGCGTGTGCACGATGCCACGTGACTTCACCGGCGTAGGGGCCGCACTCCGTTGGCGAGTTCAAGCTTAAGCACCGATTGCATCATTCACGGCGCGGTTATTGTGACACTGAGTCGCCGATTAATGCGTCGGCAGTTCAGGCGTCGTTTGTGGAGGCGTGTCGGCCTCTCCACCGCGGCGAGCCGCAGCTAGCAGCGCGAATGACTACACCAGCGTCATGCATCGCAGATAAGAGGAAAGCGAAAGGGTCACCACATCCCGGCCACTGCACTGGGCGTGTCTCCACCTCCGCAGGCTCTGCGTAACATCATCAACTCGTCGTGCGATCAGCCGATCGGTTACCCGATCTACGTGTCGCCGCTGATGACGTCATACGTGGAGACAAGCGAGCCGATGAGCCGCATCCTGGGCGACCCGATCAGCTTCGGCTGGGTCAAGCGGCACCTGCTGGACGCCTGGCAGCGGCTCTGCGCCCGCTGCGGCCAGGGCTGCGTGTCCGGCGGCAGCGTGCTGCAGGAGGACGGCGTGCGCTACATAGCGCACCCCTGCACGGTCCAGCTGGGTGAGTGGCGCACCCCTGGACGGTCCAGCTGGGTGAGTGGTGCACCCCTGCACGGTCCAGCTGGGTGAGTGGCGCACCCCTGCACGGTCCAGGTGGGTGAGTGGCGCACCCGCGCACCTTTCGGAGTGTGGAGAGCGCTCTGGCGGGTCCTGGTGACCGCGCATTGTGACGTTTGGTGGCGCCATCGTCAACCGAGTCCGTTGGCTTGTCCTTTGAGCTGTGTGGGTGCGTAGTTCGGTTTGACGTGTTGGAGCGCTTGCCGGCGGGGAACATCTCAATGTCCACAGTCCCTGGTTTATGGCCGTGTAGTCGTCCATTTTCCGGCCCGAAAGGTCTTTTGCGACAATTGCTTAAGCAAGGGCATGTTGTCTTTTCTTCCGCCGCTTGTTTGCCGCTCTTGAAAGATCCATCTCTGGCGTCTGCCTTTGACACCCTCCGTCATCTTCCCCTGACGGTACCGTCCCCGCACCAGACCGCTACTGTGCCGCCCCCTCTGACCGCCCCTCCCCGCACCAGACCGGTTGCTGTGTCGCCCCTCTGACCGCCTCTCCCCGCACCAGACCGCTACTGTGTCGCCCCTCTGACCGTCCCTCCCCGCCGCAGCGGCGTTTCCGGTAACCAGCGGCAGCCAGGAGGGGGTCAGCTTCGGCCCGCGGTCGGCCGGCACCTTTCCGCAGCAGCTGGTGGCGCCACCCAGCGTCAAGCCCACCTCGGCCACGCTGCCGGCCCGCTCTGGGCCGTACGTGGTGCCGTGTGTGAGGCCGGCACGGGGCCTGCCGCCGCGCCGGCCGGCCGTCGCCACCGCCGACCTTTCGCCCGTGCTGATGCTCTACCCGACGGCGACGGCCGGCGCGAGCCCGGCGCGCGCGCGCGTGCGCCAGGTGCGCGCCGGCAGCCCGGCGCCGCGCACGCCCCGCCTGCCCATCGGCACCAGGGTCAAGGTCAGTAGCGAGGGTCGAGTGCTCGAAGGACGTGGCTCGTGTGGTCGGTCGTCCAGAATAGGTGGAGGCAGAGAGCTGGCTGCCCAGATGTGTGGCTGGACTCAAGGCGCTCTGCTTCCAAGTGCACAGTTCGTCGCGCCATGTATGACTGCTGTTACTTTGTGCCATAGTTGTATAGCTAGGGTTGCATACAGTATCTGAAATTTGGTTTGGGTTCTTGGGGGAGAGAACAAAAATCCTCAAATTCTGGGTTGTAGTGAGAACAAAATAATCCAGGCAAATTTGCACTGCTTGCATTGAATTATATTTTTTGACAGCAGATGACAGTAAACATGATCCTTTAGCTGGTCTCAGTAATCACCAAAGACCTTTAGAGATTGGCTGCTTGCATCTTAAATTTTCTAGCTTCTCAAGTATATGCTTTCTTTCTAAGTCTATGCTCACACCTACTGTATTTTTTGATGATATGGACCTGATAGAAAGTTGTTTATATTGATAATTATGTTGTAAAGGTGTGAGTCCCAATTAAGGCTGATAGAAAGCAATGCTTAGAATGTTGTGCACCTAATGAACAATTTCCTAGAGCACATTATGACAAATTCATTATTAAAATGTCATGCAGCTCATGATAACATGAATAGGAGCATCTGTAGCATAGTAGTTTGTGTACCTATGTTTAGCCAAGGCGCAATCTTTCCCACTAAAGGGAGAGATTCTGGGGCAATGTGGTACCTGCCTAGGCTTTTACTGACCTAGATACACTTTAATTTGTGACGAGGGGTGTAGTTTCCTACGCAGCGGGATGGGATGCTACTAGCCCCTCCCCAACTTTGGGAAGAAACTTGGTCAAAATCGTGGAGATCATGGTTTGCACCATTTATTTGGGATTAAAGAATTATCGACTCACCCGCTTCTCAAGTTATGTACAAAACTACACCATCTGAGACGTCAGGCTGCTGCGTGATCCGGCTCGGACGGCAGTGCAGTAGGGGCGGGGTAGTTATTCCCTTCTCATAGAGCAAGCCAGCCGTACAAAGGTAGCGTCGCCACATCTACTCACCGACGTTGAGTCTGATACAATACTTTTCTCAGTGTATGACGCGGAGCTGAATTTATATATTGCCTTTACCTAAACCATCAAACAATCGCGTTGTCACCCCGCACGCGGCTGCAAAAAATAAAACGTCGGAAGGCTACACGGGGCGCGCACTGCATAACAGTCTTCAACGGCAGAGCCGCTGTAAGTTTTTTATCGGTTCTGATCTTGCTTTTTTAGGACCTTAATGATTTTCGAAAGCTATTCGTTGGCAAGATCCCGGTCAAATAAGAGGCACATCTTAACAAACGTAAAAAATATAAATTCAAAACCAAAAGTTCTGCTGAACGGAGAACAGGAAACCCTGCTTTAGCTTTATATTCAGACCACAGTTCTGTGGTGACGCTCTGTAGATCGGTAGAAAAAAAAATCGCACGCTTTTATTTAATGCCCCTTTTATGCGTTTTCATAGATAGAACAGCAGTATTAGCCTTATTCCTTGGAGAAAAAACAGGAGAATAGAGATATAGTTGGGTTGATATGTCTGCAACATCACTTTATCGAAACAATAGACGAAGTGAAGTTCTTAAGTTCAAGACGTCACTTCTTCTATTGTTTCGATAAAGGCACGTTGCCGAAATATCAACCCAACTGTATCTCTCTTCTCCTGGTTTTTCTCCGAGAAATAAGGCTAATGTTACTATCTTATCTGTGTGAATAACGTTTCTCCCTAATGTACTGAACAACTTACTTTTATGCGTTTTCGTCAAGTATTCAGCTCGGATTTCTTGGTCGAGAATTTGCCTTCTCTCCAATGCCAAATCCTCCCCAAGAGTCGAAGACTCGCGGAGCCGTGAATTTCCTCGTGCCCAAGCGAGTGTTTGGGATGGTGTCTGATATCATTATGTTTTCTATGCAGTGTCCATTTTTGATAGCTTCAGATGCAAGTTTTACCAGAATGCTATTTTTAATGGATTAAAATAATTTTTTCATCAATATAAAATAAGTTCACGCTATTCTTGGGGGTACATGTTAGTGTAACATCATGTCCTTCCGCATCAATTTGTATTGTATTACAATGACTTCTACGAGCAATCGAGAAGCGTTGAATCGGGGCGTATACGAGATGTTCTCCGTCCTCTCGCTGCTTCCCGGCCCGACAAGAGGCTTTGTTACTGTATTGAGCGCGGGCTCGGCCCTGCGTCTGAGCGCATCGGTGTCATTGGTGGACGGTAGGGGGTTAAACATGTGCTGGTGAGCAGCAACGGATCTTGGCACTGAGTGCATTGGAAGGAAAGATTGTGTGCGATGGGGTATAAATATTCGGCTGAAACCCGCAAGTACTATTCTTCGTTCAGTCGTGTGAGTGGCACGCGATGCTGTCGAAGCTCCAGGAACAGCTTGACTTCATTTCACGTTCCTCACAGAGAACAATTTTATGTTCTTTCGGGTGTATATTTGTGGAGAACAAAATGCCTTGGGGCTAAAGCCACCAAGGAACACCCAAGTTTCAGACACCGGTCGCGCATCGATGTGGGGCGGGGATGCTCTGCGTCAGAGAGATAGTAGGTTGGTTTCTGTGGATGTTTTCCCATCTGTAAATGTTTGCGCGTGATACCTCACCGTGCCACCGTGTGCGCCAGTGCATGCGTATTCGTGCGCGCCGATCACACTGTCGTGTGAACAGCCCGCCGCACCCGCTGACCCCTCCCCCCCCCCCCCCCCGCCCGCCGACAGCTCGTCAACGGCGACATGGTGTACGACAGCATCAACCAGGGCCGGCGGGTAGACGTGCTGTGGCCCGACGATAGGTGGCGCCAGCACGGCGGCAAGAACCACTGGGGCTCCTGGCTGCCGGACGGCCGGCAGGGCACGGTGGTGCACTTCTGGTGTCCGTCGCACCCCGACAGGCGCTACCGGTGAGGGCAGGGGCATGGACGCCGCGGCGGGGTGCCGCCGACCGGGTCTGACCGGAGGCCCCACCCGCGCCCCGCCCGGTGACACCGAGGTGGCTTACTCGACGCTGAGACGTGGCCCTGCCCGTGGAGCTGTTGTGGGGGCGTGCTCTTGGGGTGAGAGATAGAGAGCGGGGTGAAGGGAGAGACCGTGGTGAGGTTTACGTGAAGCTGAGAACAGTCTTCTGTTTTCACAACCGTCCACAGACCATCATGCACCTGTCCATCCGCTGCGTGCTCTGTCCACGCCCCCCCCCCCCCCCCCCCGTCAGCTGCATGTTTGGCATACTGGCTCTGCTATCGGGTGTCGGTTGGGCATTTGCCGCGCTGGTGTCCACTACATGACGTCACTTGGAGCTAGTCCCAGTTACAAGGCAGTGTCGTGCAAGCTAGTTCTCCGAGTGTTGTGTAAACGAGATGCTCCACGGGAAATGGCAGTAATAGTTTGAATGAAGTGAACCGTGGCTAGTAGTAGTTTCAGGCTGTGAAGTCTGGCATATGACTGGGTGCATTATAACTCTCGCGGCGTAAACCAGGTGCGGAATAACTGTGTATCGCTAAAATAATTTCCTTGACATATAGCTGACACGATCTCAGCCGTCACTGCGAATACTGTGCGTTCAAACGCTGCGTCGGTCTTCTTCCTTATGGACGTCAGACGTAACAGCTGGCCGGTACGACTGGACGGGACTCGACTGGAATCACTGGCCAGCTGGAGTCTGTGGTGATGCATTCGGTAGCTCTTGATCATTGCTATCAATATATAATACGCAGCGTTATCATCTGCGTTATCTGAACCTAGATCGCAGTGTTACCATTTGCGCTTGTAACCCTATCTGCGCAGCACCACACTGGCGACCTGCCCACCTGAACGACAGTCGTCGCCCTCCCGCCCCCACCGCGCCCCCAGGTCGCACGTGGACCGCACGACTCCGCGGCCCACCCACCTGACGTGCCGCCCTCACCTCACCTGCCCCGCCGCGCCCCCAGGTCGCACGTGGACCGCACGACTCCGCGGCCCACCCACCTGACGTGCCGCCCTCACCTCACCTGCCCCGCCGCGCCCCCAGGTCGCACGTGGACCGCACGACTCCGCGGCCCACCCACCTGACGTGCCGCCTACACCTCACCTGCCCCGCCGCGCCCTCAGGTCGCACGTGGACCGCACGACTCCGCGGCCCACCCACCTGACGTGCCGCCTACACCTCACCTGCCCCGCCGCGCCCCCAGGTCGCACGTGGACCGCACGATCCTGCTGCTGGAAATGAACGGTGGCAACTACGTGCCGGTGGCCGAGGCCGGCTGCCACCCGGTCGACGACGCGCTCACGGAGCCCGAGCGGGTGGTCGATGTGTGATAGGCCGTGGCGGCCGCCGCCGACCCCGACACTGTGATACTGACTGAGGCTGAGGGCGGCTGCGCGCGTCAGCGCCGCGGCCGCCTCCGTGCCGGCGCCTGGCGAGAGGCCGCCGCGGCCGAGGCTCGGCCGCGTGTGCTGGTCCTGCTTCGTGGCCGCGTGCTGGTTGTATTCGTGCGTTGCAGTTTTTTTACGCCGGTGGTGTGTGTGTCCGCGTTTTCGAGGTGACCGTCGCAGTGCTGGGAAGGTGCGGCAATTCCAATCATCACGTTGTAATGCGACCCGTGCCTGTGTTGATGATCCCATTGGTGCTCATTGGAAGGTAGTGGACCCGGCCGGCTGGAAATAAAGTCCATTGGCAGGCCTAAGGCATGTACTCTTTCCTTACGAGACGAGGGGTATGGATATTCGTATTGCGTTTCGGGACCTACCCTGTGGTGTTCCGGCATTACCAGCTGACTCCAGCCGCCCTGCGTTCGATGTGCGCTGTCGGATGCTTCCGAACAACGTACACGATCATAAGCGCGCGCACTAGCGGAATGAGGCCCGCCCGTCTGATAATGGACAGGCTTTGCATTACGGCAGATAGCTGAGCAGGCTGCTTGTACTCCACTGCCACCTATCGGCGGCGAAAGCTATCAGAGCGGTCAGAACGTTGGAATGGCTGGGTAACTTTTGAATTATGCACAGCCTCGGGATAAACCCTCGGAACAATCACTGGTCTCATTTCAGGAGGATGGTTTGGGGAATCTATCGCTTTAAAGGCATCGATGGCATTATGTTGAGGCGGGACAGCGGTTAGCAGGCCTGTGAATGGTTAGCAAACTGTTAATGGTCAGCGGCCTGGTGGTCATGTGGTGGTTACCATTTGAAGGCGAACGTGGCACGGAAAAGGGCGGGTGCCTATGGCTGGAAATTCAACCAACACTGCACCACAGCCCTTCCACCGGTGCTTGATTTCAACTTATTGGTTCGTCCTCGTTGATTTGCATGCACACCTCATTTCTTTGCCCTGTTAGTCAGCATGTTTCTGAATCGCGTGGAGCCGAGCGTAGATTTGGCGCCGCATGGCGTCCGCCCTGCGATGATCATATTCGTTCATTAAGGAGCCATGCGATGAGCCAGGTGGTGAGGATGATTCTCTGGAGAAAGCCATACCGTCACTGAAAGAACGCAACAATCTGCCCTACCCATGGTTGGCAGGAAAGAATTGATGATATCAGTACATCATTGACTTTGTTGCTGCTTTTTGTGGGCTGCTGATCCTTTGTCGAACTTTCCACATCAGACGTGACCCCTTGTAATCAGAGACCTGGTGACTTCCAGCCACAAAATTCAACTGGCAGGAGCCCATTCAGAACACATCAATGACTAATGCTTCCGACGGGATTTGAGGGGCGTGTCCGAAAGCTGTACCTTTAGGAGCTGCCATGCCTGGTGCAACGCAACCTTGAGAGCGCGCTTCGCGGACGGCTGCCGCAGTTATAGAACGTCTCTCGAGCCAGCTCTCCTGCCCCCCCCCCCCCCGTTTTCTGGCGGAGCCGCGTCCAGCCCGTCTGACAACGCCACATGTCACGGCAGAGTCCGACCACCCGGCCTGCCCGCAGTTCCAGCAGCAGACAGAACAGACAGCACGCAGCTTCTCGTATTGATCCCCATCCCCTGTACACAGGTACACCTACAAGCAACAGTCACACGGGGCGGCGAGCGCACCAGCCTAGGCCTGCTTGCTGCTGATCGGGTCGACAGTCGGCTCCGGGAAGTTGAACTGCGGGAACTTGGCCACGTCCTCGCCCTCCTTGAAGCCGTACGAGCGGGCTATCCGCTCCAGCTCGTTCTTCATCTCAGCCTGCAGCTGCGGCGTCGGGTCCACCAGGCCATCCTTGGCTGTCCTGAGAGCGACGGGGTAGCAACGGTCAGGCGGCCACGCCGGCCGGCGCAGTGCGCGCAGCCGGTACGGCGGATACAGCGGTACGACACGCGTCTTCGCGCGCGTGCTTAAGTTTACCGCCTGCCCCGGAAAATCGGGCGCTGGGACCTCCCAGCCACATCGAACAACCCAAGTTGCACAAAGGGGCATGAACTCACTTGCTCTTGGAGCCATATGCGCGGAGTTTTTCCAAGAAGAGCTTCTGGATGGGGTCGTTCGCCTGGGTTTGGCCGAGCGCAGCGGATGTGTTGATGTGCCGCGCCAGCCGAAGGGAGGCGGCCGCCTGACGCAAGGGTCGTGCCAGCTGGCTCATCCTGCCAGCACAGACAGACCCTGCATCACGGTGGCACGGCCATGGCCCGGTGAGTGCTTCACTGCTTCAGACTGAGAGACTGTCACGGCACGCACAAGACCATGAAGCAGAGGAATGAACCACATTTTAACAATGTATTTGTCTGTCAGCATCACCCACTGAACAGTGGACAGCTGAGGCTTGGCAGTTGGCAAAGTAATAGAAATCCTGGGATTCTTCTCGATATCTCTCTAAAATATAAACCCAGATGCTTATCACGAATTGACACAGGGAACAATTCTGGCTAGATATATGCTACCTATACATGACTTCCACTGGCAGCCTGGTGAAACCCTGTGAAAAGTGGCTGACCCAGGCCAACACAGATGCCAACTAGATAATCATTTTGAGCAAAAGAATCCAAAAGGGAAAATGGTGAGTTAATGACTCCTGTGTGTATATACAAAAACAACAGGGAAAGGCCAATCACAATGCATACCACAGCGCAAGCATGTATGACTATCAAAATGAAGCACCCTGACCTAATGCTCTATTGTCATTTTCAACACTGTGTGGAAAAAATCATAATTTATATGTTACAAATTTGCCTTACATACTTCAAAAGTCTCAGGACCTTTCCTAAAGTAAAAGAGAGAATATTGTTATTTTACCATGCACCCAGATGGCCACAAGATTCCGATTTCTGAACATACCTGCTTGTTTTAAACTGTGGTGGTTAAATTGGGTTTATTTTATGTAAAATATGCTGAATGTAGTGGCCCCACAGACAAAGAGGGTATCAGTGTTGGAAAACTTGACGTTTCCTGGTGTAATGTATACCAGGAGATTTTGTACTCCAGGATTGTGACTAGGTAAAAAGAAGTACTTTGTACTCCATCATGATGGAACAAAAACAGCTTTTGTAAAAGCTTGTTTTACCTCTTTGTGTCAGGCCAAAATAAAACCAGAACATGCAACAGGTTCAGACTTGCTGCTTCCATCAGGAGCCATGTATTGATATCTGCAAGAGCAAAAATCTTGCACCCACCAGACTAAGACGCCCAATAGCAAGCAGCCTGTGTTGCCACCTAGGTACATGACAAACCATGTATGGAAATGTAAAAAAGTGTGTGAACGTTGAATGGAATCGCCTTTGAACGAAACCGGAAATGAGAAAGTACCAGAATCGCACCGGTCTGTAGATTAGCAAAGCTGTCACTTCCTATGTTCGCGGACCAACTCAAACTTGAGCATGACTTAACTGACCATTGATGACGAACCACATTAGGTCGCGGCTGCTGTGCGTATGCGGTGCTCGGGAGCTCGCCATCGTAATTATAAAAAATTTGAAGGTAAGAGCATGAATCTACCTGTTTTGCGATTATTTACGATATGTCCTGTCTTAAACGCGACGAATGGTGTACAATTATTTCTTCTAACGCTAGGTAGGAAAGTACACCCTGACCCAGAGCCTTTCATAAATTGAAAATTCATGTATATGCACATGTGTTTCATAGTACAGAGTATGAGACTGTGTTGTTTCAGTGTGCCATGTTTAATATTGGTGTTTCTTTTCATTTAAAGCACTTTTACATGAGCTGCTGTATATGAAAAGTGGTGCTTTCGCTGAGTACCACCCATTGTAGTGTTATCTCTCAAAGATAACCTAAACAAAACTGTAATGACCCACAGCATTTTCGATAATTTTGTACTCCACCAGAGAAAATTTGTACTCGGCTACCAGGGACATTTTTTGGAATTTCCAACACTGGAGGGTATCACTACCAGTAGATTTTGAGGGATCAGATGATTGTCCCAACACACTTATTATCATAACATGGCATGGAAAGAAATGCCTAGAGCTAATGGATCAAAGATGTGACTTGAAATTGTATGAATTAGGGAGATTCACCAAATATGCACCTAATGCATGGTGCACCCTGGCAGAAAATGTAAGGTTGCATTATACTAAGCCCATGTGACTTATGTTTGGTCATCACCATCTCCCTGTAACATATTTATGAACTGAGTGTCACAGTAAATCTAAAATCTTCCCCTTCACATGAGGGATGGAACACTTTTATGATGTAATACATTTGTCTCTGGAACGATACCCACCATGAAAATGAAAACCATAGGCAAAAGCAATATAACAGATGAATCCGAGGTTGTGATCAAATTCTTAGCAGTGTCTAAAACTTGGGTGTTTCTTGGTGTTTTTAGCCCAAGACATGTTGTTCTCCACAAATATACACTGGCAAAGATGTAAAAATTGTTCTCTGATCGACATCGGATGAAAGCAAGCTGTTCCTGAAGCTTCAACAGCATTGCATGCTGCACTCACAACTAAACAAGAGATACTGCTTGTGGGTTACAGCTGAATCTCTGCCATATCACACACAGTCTTTCCTTGCAATGCACTCAGTGCCCAGGTCTGCTGCAACTCACCAGCACATGCTCAACCCATCTACCGTCAAACAACAATGATGCCCTCAAGCATCCAGCTTTAGCCCACACTCAAAACAACAGTGTCTCTTGACCGGCCAGGGACAAGCCCAGAGAACATCTTGTATATGTCACTATTCAACATGTCTGGATTGCATGTAGAAATCATTGTAACACAATAAAATTGATATGGAAGTATATGATATCACACTAAAATGTACCTCTAAATATGAGATGAATTAATCATATGTTGATTAAAAGTTTGTTTAAATTCATTTCAAATAATAAACTTATTAAAATTGCATTTGAACCTGTCAGAAATAGATATTATATAGAAGGTATAATAGTGACATCAAACACCATCCAAAACACTCGCTTGAGCACATGGGAAACCACGGCTCCATGAGTCTCTGCTCCTGAGGAAGATTTGGCATTGGCGAAGATATGTTCTCCACCTAGAAATCCAAGCTGAACACATGATGAAAATGCATAAAAGCATCATTAAACAAAAGCATGGAATATTTTCTATTGATCTGCTGAGTGGTGCCACAAAATCATGATCTGAGTACAAAGCTGAACCAGGGTTTCTTGTTCTTCTTTGATAACTTCTAGTCTTATGTTTATATAATTATTTACCCTTTTGAGATCCACTTTTATTCAAGCCAGGTCTCACAAATCCTTTTTGCAAAATCATTA